AGTCGCAGCGCCGCCTCGGCGCGGGTGATCTCGTCCTCGGCCTCGGCCTCGGCCTCGCCGGGGTCGAGGTGGGGATCGTCGAAGGAGAAGGCCCCGGACTTCGCCGCCGGGGCGGTATCTTTTGCCTTCTCGACCGCCGCCTCCAGCCTATCAAGGGCCTCCGCGAGTTCGTCAATTCGCTTGCCGTTGTATGCTTGTAGGGCGGCGCGTGCTTCGGCGAGCGATTGGATGTTCTTCGCATGGCGATTGCGCGCCTCGTAGGCGTTTCGAGGGCAAAGCCGCAGCGATTGCCCCACCGCGTGCAAAAGCTTCTCGATATCGCAAAGGTTCATTCGGGTCCGGCGCTGGGTGCGGGTTGGAATGCAAAGCGAATCGTCCGCGTGGTTTAATAGGTTACCGTAATGCTGTCAGGATGGGGTTGGATTGGGGATGGCATCTAGGATGGTGTTTTCCTTGTACAATGAAAACACTTGAAAGTGACGAATAGTAAAAAATAACAGTAGGAAGAATCCAAGGGGGGAAAAAAAAATCATCACGCAGTCGCCTGACACACGACTAGGCTAAACCCCCGATTATTATTCACGTTATTTATAATTTTATCGGTTTAAGTAAAAACACAAAAAAAAAAATACGTGATATAGAGAACGTAAAGGAATTCATCGAACAGTCAAACTGGGGGGAAATGGCTCTGCTTAAAATATAAAAATATATATATTTTAAGAGTTCTGATAAAAATGACAGCGCAATCAATAAGAATCAAATAAAATTGTAAAGCAGAGTTTCACTAAAGATAGAATTTATCTTTATATAAAGTATAGCCCCGTGAAAGTTGTAAAAACAGATTTGATAATAATAATAATAACAACAACAACAACAACAGTAATAGTACTAGTTTCTCCCTACTAATATTGTTTTTTTTTTATTTGTTTGTTTTACCATTAACGCGGAAATGATCTTTTTTCCACAATCCTTGTGTTTCCTTCCTATATATCTATGAGTCTATTGGCAAAGCTGAGCTCTCCATCCGCCAAGGTCGAGCTATTATTCCTTTCGTGATCGAGCTCCTCCTGCCTTTTGATCCAACTCGCGGTTGGAAGGGCATAACTCGGTTCGCAGTGCGCTTTTCGCGCACTTTTGGCGGCATTCCCTTTCGAAAAAGGGGCCGCGATGGGGATGGAAGGGGTGGAGGCGGAAAAAGCGCTGCGGGCCTCCCGCCCGGAGTCGCTCCCCGCCTCCCCGACCACGCGCGACACCGACGACGAGTTCAGCGTGGGCGGCTGATGGCCCAGAATCACCGTCGGCGGGGGGACGATTTTGACCTCCTTGGGCTTTTTGCGCCCCGCCGAGGCGAGGGCGGGGGGCTCGTCGTGAAAGCCCTCGTCGCCCTCGCGCGTCTCGCCGAGGGAGCCGGAGATGATTGAGCTGTCGTTCGCGGCGGCCTTGGCGGTCGGCGCCGGCGGGGGGTTTGCCTGGCGCCGGGCCTGCAAAAACTCCCCGAACTTCGCCAGCAGGACGTCGAAGAGGCCGATGT